CACATTATCAAATGCCTTCTGTGCATCTAGAAATATCAGAGCAATTTGTTTTTCAGGATGTGCCTCGTAGTATTCCAAAGTGTCCAAGATTACACTCATATTGTCTTTAATTTGTCTCCTTGGCAGAAATCCATTTTGATCAGGATGGATAAAATTATTTAAATATTTTTAAAGTCTTTCTGCCAATATTGAAGCAAAGATTTTATAACCTGCATTTAGTAGGGAATGGATCGGTCTCCTCTTTTGGAACAAGTGTGATATAAGCTTCTGACCATGATTTAAGTATCCTCTTCTTTAACATAATTTCATTCATAACTTCTAGCAATGGTTCTTGTAATATTTTATAAAATTCTGCCGGAAGTCCATCTGGGCCTGGTGCCTTTCCATTATTTTGCTTCTTAAGTGCTTCAGTTAACTCCATCATCGTTATATTGCTTTCTAACATCGTTTCAATCTCTTTAGGTATCTGGGGTAAATTAGCATTCTGTAAATACTGTTTAACTCTTTCCTCATCAATATTCTCTTGTGTGTATAGTTTCCCATAATAGTCTTGAATGATTTCCTTCTTCTCTTTACTACCATAGCAAACTTGGCCTTGGTCATCTATTAATTGCAATATTTTCCTTGATTCTTTCTCCTTTCTCAATTTATATGCTAACCATCCACCTGGTTTATTTGCATCTTCAAAGTAGTTCTGTTTAGCACCTCTAATATTTTGTGCTAATTCTTCTTTTTCTATTAGACCCATTTTATGTTTGGTTATATCCATTTTTAACTTAATGTCCTTTTTCTGTGGCATTTTCTGTAGCTCTTTTTCAAGTCCTTTATACTCATCTTCTAATGGCTTAGAGGCTAATATTTTCATGGTATTTCTTTTCTTTGTATAGTCTATTATCAAGCCTCTGGCATATGCCTTCATTGTATCCCATACATTCTGGATTCTCCACTATGTGAAGTCTTTTTCCTTTAAAATAGTATTATTTAATGTCCATCTAGATCTTCTTCTTTGTCCTTTCCATTTAATTGTCATTGGATTGTGATCTGCCCAAGTACTTGTTTCAATATTTATTTCTTGAATATTAGTTCACAATTCTGTTGACATCAATATCATATCTATTCTGGACCATGATAAGTGTCTATTTTAGTAGAAGGTGTATTGTTTAGCTTTAGCATTTCTTTCTCTCCATGTATCTTTTAAGTTTATTTCATCTACCATATTAAAAAAAGATTTAGGGAGAGTCTTTCTATTTTGCTTTATTGTTTTCTGTGTTGTGTAGTCCAGTTTATTGTTTACAATTCCATTAAAATCTCCCATCATAACTATATTAACATAGTCAAGTTCAATTATTTTCATATGTAATTTTTTATGGAATTCTTCTTGATTGTCATTCGGGGCATAGATTGCAATCAGGGGTGTTTTCGTATTATTGTCCATTATTTCCACCATTAATATTCTTCCGTCGTCATCAGTATAAATCAATTTCACTGGGATGGTCTCTTTAATATATAAAACCACTCCTCTTTTCTTACATTGTGTCAAGGAAGTAAATATTTTCCCTAATTTTGGCTGTATCAACAATTGTTCATATTGTTTTTCAATATGTACTTCTTGTAGGCAGATTATATCAAATTTTAATTTCTATAATTTATGAAAGGTTTTCCTTCTTTTAACGGCTGAGTTAAGTCCATTTATATTAATTGTAATCAATTTTTTCTCTTCCATGGTTATATTTTGTAGTTAGGTTTGACAGCTCTCATGGATCTTGGTTCACGTTGTTCTTTGGCTTCCTCCTTTCCATCTACTGAACCTTCTTCTTTTTCAGTCATCATTTGGGAGTCCTCTTGGAATTCAATTAGTGAAATTTCTTTTTCTGCCTCTTCCTCCCCTCTGAAAAATTCTGTGTAAAATGATTCAGTTTTCTCAATTGAGTCAATTCTATATCTCTGTTCTTGCCATGTGAACATTAAACCTTCTGGAATCAGCCATCTATAATTCACCTCTTTTTTAAGTAACAATTTGGTCAAGAATCGGTATACTCTTCTCATCTCTCTCACTCTTCTGGGTACTTGTTTCAAGACCACAATCTCCTTATCTTTGTATTTCAATGTTTTCTCTCTTGCCACTTGCAATATTTGCGTTTTAATGGCTTTCTTTGTAAATCTGATGTGAACTTCTCTTGGTAAGCTATTTCTTATCTTGTGAAGACTCGATAAACCTCATCTATTCCATCCATCATCTTCTCTTCAGTTATTTCTTCAGTTATTTATATTCAGCCAATATTTCTATCATTATCTCAGCTAGATTTTGTCCTTTTTCTTCCTCTATGTTTTGGAATCTAAGATAAAATTCTGATCTGTCCATCTCCCATCTCAGCATACCACTTTTATCTTGTTAAACCACAGTTAATCTGTTATCAATGTCTCCAATCTTCTTGTTTCTTTGTTTATCTTCTTCTTCAATTTTTTGGAGTCTCTCATCATACTTCATCATCATTTGTTGGATGTTCTTCACTTTTTCATCGGTTTTCCCTGTTTTTTGTTCAATGTTTTCTATTCTCTTTTCAATATTCTCTTATCTTGTTTGAATATTTTGAATTCCTTGCATAATCATCTTTCAGGGTCACTTTTTCTTGTTCTTTTTCTTGCCTTAACATTGTCTGTATTGAACGTTGTCCTCCAGATGGTGGAGAGGAAGAAGTAGAAGTTGAAGAACCAGGAGCTGTTAATTTCCTACTCATTTCGAGCAATTCAAAATCTTCAGGTTCTTCTAGACCTTAATCCAATTGTGAAATAACCAATTGCAGTTCCAAATAAAAATAGTAGGAAAAAAGAAGCCAAATAGTAATAATAATAAAAAAGAAGAAAAAATTTCTTCAGGTTCTTGTATACCTTAATCCAATCGGTTGGTTAGATGACAGTAAAAATTCAAAAATGAAGGAAAAGACCATAAACACACCATAAACACACACACAAAAGAAAAAGTTGTAAAATCCTAGAAAAGGCGAAAAAAGTGAAGAAAAAGGCTAAAAAAAGAAAGGAAAAATTCTTCAGGTTCTTCAACACTTTAATCCAATTAAGAGGTCTCAAATATAAAAGGATGCATAAAAATAAACCAAAAAATAAAACCAATATGGAAGGTAGATGGAAAGGCAAAAATACCAGGAAGGGAGAGAGAAGAAAAAGGCTACTCCCTTAAAAAGAAAAGGAAGGGAAACATTAATACTAAAGCTTTTCCTTTAAAATAAAAAGCAGGCATAGAAATTTAACTTCCAAAGACAAGAAAAAAACCAAAAACAAGTTCCAAAGAGCCAAAAATCCAAATAGCTATTACAAAAAAAAAGTAAACTGATGAGGAGGGGTAGCACAGCTTAGAAAGAATAAAAAGAGCACACTGCACTTCGTTTAATTATCCAAGGCTCTTGTTATAACTCTCTTCTCCAAAGACTTATCACCTTTTCTTTTCCTAAGCTTCAACACCAGACTCCAGCTGTTGATAGAAACCCAGAAGAGCACCTGCAATAATACTCTCCCATGCTCTTCCCTCTATCTTATCAAACAGGCAATGTCCTTGAAAAAAAGTCTCATTTCTTTCTCAGCTTTGTCTGGTCAAAAGAGAAATAGAATATTTCCAAGCCTCTAGTTGGCAATGTTACAAAGTTTCTTTAGCTTTCACTTTCCCCCTCATTTTCCAAGCAAAATATAATAAGAATTAATTAAAAAAAGAAAAAGATATTTAAAACAAAATAACTAAAAGGGAGTCTCTGGCTTAGAATATTATAAAGTCAAAAAGGAGAAAAGAATAGATAAAAAGAAGAGAAAAAAACCAGTCCAGTTTCAAAATATAAGATCATGTGTAGAAAATCCAGCAATGAGAAAAAAAATAAAAATATTACTTTGACGTTCCTGTTTAAAATCGCCGCTTAATCACTTCTGTCAAAACTTTTACAGATTCTTTCTTTCCCTTAGGGTGTCCTTTCAAGTCTTCTCTCTCTTTCCGTTCTCTTTCGTTTCAGAGCTGTCCCAACTTCAGCAGCTTTAATGGCTGCCTCTTCGCCGCTGGCAAAAAGAGCTTCTCCTGGATCTACTAGGGACTTTGCGATATCCCTGGGATCGACAGGATGTGCTCTTTACATTCACTGTCTCTTCGGGATGGTTTAGTTCCATTTGGACCGTCCAGGAGCAAAGATATTGGCAGCGATCTCAGACCTCCAAGATCGCATGCCGTATCGTTGCAACGCCAGCTCCGCCCTCCATATAGAATTTCTTATGGGCTTTTCCTATACTTTCCTTCCAGAACAAGGCACTTTCCCAGCATGGATGCTGGGAAAGTCAATTCAAGTTCTTGCAATTTACCTTACTGAAAGGTAAGTACTTTGTCTTCAGAAGAGGTGGCAGTTCCCAGATTGCAAGCAGGAATACATTTGTTCCAAACCTAAGCACTGAACACGCATAAGGAAAGCATATTCATCTTTCCAAGAACTTCCAGTGTCTTGAAAGTTGCTGTTCATAGGTACAACTGGACTTACTATGATGACCTTCAACCATTGATGTTGGACATGTTTACAGCATTCCCATATCAGGCTAAACATGCATTGAAGCACAATCAAACCTTCTCAATGCTATTATGAAATATGTTTAATTCAATTGTATAAAAGTATAGTTTTCTCCTTCATTATAATAAAAAGCTTTTTTAAAATGGGCAGAGATTTTCACAGTTGAAACCCCCCTTATCCAGTTTTTATTTCTGCAACAGGAAGCTGAGACACTCAGTTTGGGATTGATCTGTAGCTTTTAGGAGGTTGTTTCAGAAAAAGAAGACACAGAAAAATGACAATGATTGATTTCCAGAACACCAAAGCTATTTTCAGGGACATCATTTTCTGTGCAAAACATTACTTCATTTCCCATACATTCTCTCTCTCAAGACTATGTCCATAAAATTAATTGCTATTCCACATTTATCACTGAAAAACTTATCTAGATTTTGACAAGATGCTTACCATTCTACTTTTTTATCAGTGTTTTTTCCTCTCCCATTTTTCCCTCCTCCAAAATAAAGATACTTCAGAGCTGTAGAGAGCTTCTTGACTCACTTGTGCAATTGCTGTTTTTGTTGTTATGTGTGTTGCTGCTAAATCTCTAGAGTTGAATGATACAAAAGTAATTGCAAAAACCAGTCAATATAGGTAGGTCTGTGGGAGGCAACAATGCCTGGGATGATACCAAGGGATGAAGACAGTGGTAACTGGTGGCAAAAAAATCATACCCCACCTTAAAAAAAAAACCCAGATGAAATGAAAGTTTGTAAAGCATCCACAGGTTCAGTGCATATTGGCATTGTTTGGGGCCTTTCTATCTGAATGATTGTTTTCATTTGAATCAAAGGCCAGTAAAGAGGAGATAAAAATATGGCCTGTTCACCAATGAAAGATGACATCATCTGGAAGCTCCATTTTGTGTATGTATGAGTGTTTTGACTCCTGGCAACTGTCTGAACAAGTCCCTGTAGTTTTCTTGGTAAGATTTCAGAAGTGATTTGCCATCACTTGTTTCCTATGGCTGAGAGTGACTAGACCAAGGTCACCCAGCTGGCTTCATGCCTAAGGCAGGACTAGAGCTCCCATTCTCCTGTTGCTAACCCGATGCCTTAGCTACTACACCAAACTGGCTCGGAAGCTCCATTGAATTGCTGCAATTAAGCATCTGCTTTGCACATTAGAAGGTCCAACTGGACATGGCTTAAGAAAGCAGTTCCACTACAGTCATATAATTCATTGTAACTTCCTGTTTTCTTTTGTAACTGTGGATGAGGAGAAACAGAGAAGCAACTAATCTGAGCTTTTGACTTGCTGTTTTTGGCTTTTGGGTTCCTGACAAACTTAATTTGACAGTGGTCAGAATACATTCTCAATTCCAGCCCCAACCGCAAAACCTGGTCAACATCAAACTATTTTTGTTTATTGCAAGGAAGCTGTTACAAAGTGTCCTATTTGATTTTTTTTTCAGTGAAATCACAGCTCTGGGACATCCAAAATGGCAAATGTTAAATATTTATGCAGACAGACTTGTTCCTATAAAATAATTAGAACATCTTAAAAATCATTAGTGATTCAGGGTGAAATTCAGTTGCATTTGTTGAAGGACAATCAATCAATCATTTGTGGTACAGGATATAGCAGTTCTTACAATGCACAAACACTGTCTGAAGAGCCACTATATGCATTTAAAAAGCCTGCATTTAATGCTGAGTTTTGCCTTGTAATCAATCTGTCCTGCCTGAATCTTTTAATTTTTGGAATTGTATAGCCACCTATTTCTATGCCATGAAATGATCTGACCTTTATTTTACTATATATTTATACATATACATGCGCGCGCGCACACACACACACATGCATGCATTGTCAGTATTTCAGCACTTAGACTCCTTCCCCCCCCCCCCCCCCCCCCCCCCCCCGCCAGTAATTTCTGGTCTATTGGGCACTCAAAAAACTCCGGTGATTAGATAATCCAGAATGACTACAAATCCCAGAACAAGGGTTAGCCAAAATCTGCTAGGCATAAGTTGGATATCTGACCATGAATTACATCATCCTCTCCTCCAACATTTCCACCAAAGCCTTAATTCTGCTAACCTTTAAGTACAATGATGACATATTTTAATTAGTTCCTCCAGACTTCTTCCAATTTGGCCTGAAATAAATGAGGAAATGGGGCATACAGCTGAAACAAATTGACCATATTGTGCTTGCATATAAAATTTGATTATTTGTACAACTGAATACATAACTGAATTTGACATTCTCAATTTAAGAATGTATTTCCTTCGTTTTCATTGGTCCTTTACTACTCCCTTAGGCACAACCCAGTCAAAGATGTGTATTTTAGTCCCATGGATTTTAATGGAAAAATCTTAAATATGTGCCTAGATTTTTCCCATATCACTGAATGAAACCTTAGAAGGCAAACGTTTGCTGAGTATATCTATTGATTTAGACAGTGTTATGCCTGTGCTTCTATATTTCAATACGCTCACACCTTTATCTCTCTGAAACAAGTGGGACATAAACCTATTGTATCACACTGTGTAACAAAATCAAAGCAACAAGTACACACACACACACACACACACACACACACACAAAATTGTATGAAATGCAATATATGTCACACATGCTACTACAATACACATAATATTACAGTACAACAAGAATATAATAGGTGCAAATAATGATTCTGGAATGTACATTTTTATGTCAGTTGCTTTCTCAGGGCACATAATATATCCCCTTCATTTCTTCAATACCACAGTCATTGTTATAAGTCCAACATTTTAAAATACAGACCATTTGCTGAATGTAAAATCAGCTTCTAGTTTCTATGTTAGAGCCACTCACTTTTATTTTTCCTCCCAAACAGCAAAGGTTATTAAGTATCAGCATGTATGAAATTACACGGCTTTAAATCCAACATTAGCCCAAGCAAATGTCTACTATTCCTAATAGCCAATTACTAAGCAAATGCCTACTATCCCTAATAGTAGGGGAGTCAAGAGCAACAGATCATAGCCTTGGGATATTTGTGTTCTTTGCTACTCACATCAAAAAAAGTCATTTGCTGTTGCCTGGCTCCTAGTTCCTTCACAGCCACAACATTCACAACTTAATATCGTGTGATGCTGTGGTGAAGGATTTCAAAGAAGATGGGATTGTTGTCTAATTGGATTTCTGTTGCCAATAAGAAAAAATATTCCAAAAACAAAAAACAAAACCTAAATCAAACCCCCATGTGAAAGTTTTTCTATTTCTTTAATAACTGCTAGATAGTTTATGAAGTATCCAACCCAGGATAGAATTTATAATCTGAATTCAGGTGATTGTCTAGAACTGTAATGTTTACCTTGCATATATTTATATATAGACAAAACAGTTCTCAGGCTTAGAGGTGCCTCCTTTTGTGCAACAGAGCAAAATGAAACAAAAATAGTTACAAAGATTGCCTGTGGGAGGACATAATGCTAAGACTCATCATCTCTGCTATCTTCTTGTTTTCAAAATGCAAATCAAGCACGTTAGCACGTTTGATTTTTTTTTCAGGGAAAATGAGGGCAGCAGAGGGACAGGAAGACAGACCTAAAGACACACACACACACACACACACACACACACACACACACACACATACACCTTCTGATTCTTGGTTAAGAATACGTATGAAAGCCCAAACAATTTGAAATTGAAATCAAACCATGTTTGGGAAGGAACAAGCAGTTTAAAGCTAGGATTTGGGTGTCGGCCACATGTTGTGCATCAGAGGGGCCACGTAAGGTTAATCATTGCAGGCCAAGGATTTGCAAAGCTGCTGAAACATTTCCACATGGTGACTCACCCCGGAGACAACTAGGGCAATCTGGAACTGGTGAAAACAAACCATCAATACTTGGGCATAGCAAGTATTGCTAGTTCTTAAACATAGACATTGATGCAAGTCATTAAAGCAAAATCTCTACCTTTCTATGTCAAACTGGGAGTCTACCAGCCCATTACTGGGATGCATGGAATGTACTTTTCCTTTTCAAATGGAAAAGTGAATAAGCTTTCGAAAGGAAAAATAAAATGCACCCATCTTGATCTTTGCTTCCTAGGAATGCTTGTACAGTACAGATAGTCTCAACTTACCACAGTTCAAAGTTACAATGGTACTGAAAAAATGACTTATGACTATTTTTCACAGTTACTTTTTGTAGCATCTCCATGATCATGTGTTAAAAATTCAGATGCTCAGCAACTGGTTCATACTTATGACCATTGCTGTGTCCCAGGGTCATCTGATCACCTTTGGACAGATTCACTTAACAACCGGGTTACTAACTTATCAACTGCAATGATTCACTTAACAATGGTAGCAAGAAAGGTCATAAAATGGGACAAAACTCACTTAACAAATGTTTCACTTAACAACAGAAATTTTGGGCTCAATTGTGGTCCTAAATCGGTGGTCTTGGATAAGGACTGCCCTGTTCAGCAACCATCTGAATTGCCAATAACACTGAAAATCTGTTTTACAACTGGTCTAAGTTAGCTATTCACCAGGATGGTAATCATAGAAACAAGGGTTCTGAATTCCTACTTCACTTTCTCTGTTAGCAGGAACTCTGATTTATGCAGCATTCACATTTACCTTAAGGGCTACAGGCAACATTGTTTAAATACATGATTTAAAACCAATGTTTACCCTTACTTAACAAACCATAGCACATACAGTATTTGCATTGACCGTTTTGGTACCCATGGGGCTAAGGTATTGTTTTAATCAGTTGCTTTAATAAGAACCACAGTATGCTGCATTCATGGACTTTGGCGCTTAAATTTATACTGGAGTGGCGGTAGAATTTCTGCAAATAAAACTATCAGATTGGATAATTCATTTGTAATTTTTTGACAAAAATTCAATAGTAAACAAAACACCTGAACATTTTTAAGAATGTTTCTCACATTTTTACTATGAAGGAAAATATTACGTTTAAAAGAAACCAGGTCTATTTTCAGAATTGTACGTGCAGTTTCAACACCTAAAGATGTCTTCTATAAATGCACTGTTTTAATTGCTCCACGATTTTAGGCATGCTTCTCTCTCAGCCTTGTCAGCTTAAATTCTTTGAAATGAAAACAACAAAATTAATTAAACAGCTACTTTATACAAATAGCATAGCTATTTATCTCTAAAAATGGCCTCATCCTTTGGCATCACACCTGACATTTTCATTTTAAAAGGATCATTTTTAAAGAGAAGGGAACCACTTCAGTCCAGGACTGTTTGTAACAGTAAAACATTTACAACTCAAAATACTTGGAAAAGCCCAAGACCAGGGGTGTCAAACTCGGATTTGGCCCACAGGGTGCTTAGATCTGGCCCACAGGCCAGCCTAGAAATAGCAAAGGACTGGCCCACGGTGCCTCTACCAGGAAAAATGGGGCACCCCACTTTGGCTGGCAGGATGCTGCAGGAGGCATCCCCCCATCTGCTGTCCGTCCCATCTTTCCCCCCTCCACCCCATGGAGGACAAATACAATGTTGATCCAGCCCTTAAAGAAATCAAGTTTGACCCCTAGATGTTAAAAAGAACATTACCTTCAGCA